ACTCCACAGTCTGACCTTTGTTGAGAGGAACCAGCAGTTTCATAGCACACAGTGTGATCCCGCTTTCCACAGAAGCCATTCTCGTCCCCAGAGGCTGGCGGCTGTGCACCCCTGGCGCTCTGGAGGTGCCCAGCTAGCAGAAATGACCGCCTTCTTTCCCTGCTTTGTTTATCTGCATTACCTAATGCCCTCCAAGGGAGCAGATGGGCTCCTTCTGTAAGGGAGAAAGAGCCTCTGACTGAGATGGGGTGCCAAAGCCCTGAGTCAGTCTGAGTGCTTGGTGCAGGCTAAGGGCGCTACTGGGCTCTCTTACTGCCTTCCAGGGCTGGCTCAACAGCATCTGGTCTCCCATTTACACCCTTTCCTGTCCCCATCTACCCCAGGAGAAGCAGGCCATGCATGGTTGAAGCCTGTGGCTGTTGAGGTGCTCCTGTCCCCGAGTGGCACGCCTTGTCTCCCGGCTGGAGTTCCTCCTTGGCTACTGGTCACCTCAAGGTTGTGACAAGAAGGGACATTAATGCGCCTGTGAACTTGAAGGTTCTGCTTTTCAAGTAGTTTGCATGCATAGGAAATGCAATTTAAATTAAATTTTTTTATTTACTTCTTTGTGTACGTGTATATGTATGCACACGTGTGCTCATGCACCTGTGGAAGCAGAGGCTGACATGGGGTGTCTTCCTTTGTCACTATTCTCTTCTCTTGCTCTCTCTCCATATATGTTTGTACATATGACATTTCATGTGCTTGTGTGTGACTTGCATGTGTGGGTCATGGTATACCATAACACATGTGTGGACAGCTTTGGGGAATGATTCTCTCCACTGACCCTGTGGGTCCCGGGTATTGAATTCAGGTCATTAGAGTTGGTGGCAGGCGTCTTTACCAGCGGAACCATCTCTCCAGTCCTCTACCTCACATTTCTTGAGACAACATCTCTCACTGAATCTCAAGTACACTACCTTGGTCAGGCTGGCCAGCCAGTAGCTGCCATATTGCTTTGGGTTACAGACGTGTGTGTGGCTATGCTGACTTTCCTGTGGGTTCTGGGGGTTGAGCTCAGATACTCATGCTTGTGTAGCAAGGGCTTTACCCACTGAGCCATCCCTGCACCATATTTTGGTTTTATGGAGCCCGAGTCTCAAGCTGTATTCCAGGCTGGCCTTGAACTTCTGGCAATATTCCTGCCTCCCCTTCACTGGGGCTGGGATTACGGATGTGAGCCAGCATGCCTGAATGCAACTGAAGATTGGGTTGAGGTTCTCTTACCTTTAGGCTAGGGGCTGGGGAGACTAGAAAGGTAGACCCTGGAACATCCCACTATGCTAGGTACTAAGCCTAATTAGCCACCAAGGAAGAAAGCTAGCGTCTGGTCCTGGGGATTTGGGTGGGTTTTGCATTCACGTGGAAGAGCCCTGCTGGCTGCTGTAGCCGTGCTGAGCAAGATGGGCAGGATTGGGTGCAGTCTTTCCCGCTCAGTGTGGGCCCCGGTGAGCTCCGCTCATCTTCAGTGTGTCTGTGGAGACGTGAGGTCAGGCAGAGTGAAGAAAGGCCAGTTTTCCTTTTCTGTCTCTGCCGAACCTGGATGACACCTCCTGTCAGGTTTGTAGGGGTCCAGATCTTGGGAGGATTCTTCTGGCTGAAGATGTCCCTCCTCCACCAACTGGGGTGACCTTAAAAGGCTCTCAATTTAGCATCAGGCCCACTCTCTGACACTCCAAATGTAACGCTGACTTTTGCACATTAACATGGAAAGATCACCGTTTTGTGGTGTCCATGGTGTTAAGTGTGAAAACTTCACTCGATACCAAAAGGTCAAATCCCAATTTAGCCCAGGGGGAGAAAAAAATCTGGACAACCTTTCACAGGCTTGCTCGCTCCATTTCGTCAGCTGCTAATGGGTGCCAGAGCAAGTGGCCGGCTGATGGTGTGGGGCAAAGGACTAGCTATCCAGAGGCAGCAAATTCCAGCAGGTGGGGAGGGAGCTCAGGTGTCATCCAGCCTCTCATGTCCCTTGTGTGTCAGTGGGGGAGACCCTTCACCAGGTTCCTCATCCCACTTGTGTGAAGTGGGAACTTCACACACCTGCCTGGGATAGAGCCTGACATGTATGAAACACTTGGTGAAGAAGAGATGTGGAACTAGAGGGTCACCATACAATCCCATAAGGTAAATAGCTATACTATGTCACCATACAGTCTATAAGGTAAACAGCTTGCAGGTCTGGCCAGAGGTCACCCTCGGAGAGTCCCAATTATGTGGAGGGTCTCATGTTGCCCAGGTTGGCCTCGAACTTGCTGTGTAGCTGAGGATGATATTCAGCTTCTTATTCTCCTGCCTTTACCTCCTAAGGTAAAGGAGGGATATAGGAGTGTTACCAGCACACGCAGGTATATGAGGTGCTGGGACTGCATGTGTGGGCAGTCCACCAACTGAGCTACACACGGCCCCGAATCACCCCGCACCTTTGAGCTCCAGGGCCTGGGGACTGCCATCACTGCAATCGTCCATTCCTGGCTTTCACGACAATCTGCCCTCTGGGAACCGACCTCTAGCCAACCTCAGGTTCACTCTCCTTTCTGTTTCAATAGCTGACATCCAAGCCAGGTCACTTCACCCTGATCGCCAAGCACCAAGCATTCCGGGATTTCCTCAAACTTGCCTTCCCAGGACTGAAGGGTGAGACACTCTCAGAGATGGGAGCAGCTTACAGGTCCAACTCTGTAGTCCCCTCTCCTTCTTCCTTAATTAGGGGATGTCAAAAAAAAAAAAAAACAAAAAACAAAACAAAATAGAAAATCAGATGCAAGATAGTTCAGCAGGTAATGGCACCTGCCCCTCAAGCCAGACAATTAGAATTCATTTCCCAGAACTCACACAATAGGACAAAACTGACTGATAACCTACAAGCTGTCTTCCAACCTACGTGTATCCGACACACACATGTATACCCTACACACATATGCACACATGTATACACGCTAAATGAACAAGTGTAAAGAAAGGGGAAAAGAAGCACATCAGAATAGCAGGCATGGCCTGGGACTCTGCAGTCCAGGCTCCCTCGTGGCTGCCTCACAGACGACGTGTTTGGTTGGCAAGGCTTCCTTCTTTCACGCTGGGTCACCAACCTTGCACGTCTAACTAGCACAGCGTAAGCCACTTAACCACTGTCACACAACTAGTGAAGGCTGGAGCACAGGTCCGGGGGCCACGTGTCTGTCGTCCGCTCACCCTGTGCTATTGTTTGCGGAAGGCTTCTCTTCGATGGCCACTTCTCCGGCTACGCAAACCTGGTCAGACCGACTTTGATCCCTGGAGGCAGGACACAGCCATCTGTCCTGACGAAGGTGTTTCTGAGGATGACAGGGGACGCTCCTGCTCTGAGTGGGAGCAGCAGCCCGCCCAAGGCTGGATATGGGATCTGCGTGTGAAGTCACGGATGCAAACAGGCTGCAGCAGGCTGGGGAGCTACAGAACGGATGGGGACGGCTGCTCACAACGCGCCTTGTCCTCACTGGAATCCTCTGGGACGTTTCTGCATTTGCACATCTCGGGAGGTGCTGTCTGCCTGCAGCTGGCAGGCACGAGGCACTCATCGCTCTGCACATGCCCCAACTTGGTCATAGCCAGGGTACCGCCACTGTCACACGAGCAGTGCACACCTTGGCATGGGGCCACTTGTCAGTAAGTGTCTTGGAAAGTTCTGCAGTACTGAGGGGGAATCTCGGTGCTAACCCAGGGTTGTTCACTTTCTTTAATGAACAAGGGTCTTAGGAGACAAAGTAGAAGAAATGGCATCTTTGATCTGATGAACTATGGCATGGAATGCCAATGACCCCTCTGGCACACCCTGATTGACAAGCACACCTTTCAAATGAGCAGTAAAGGAAGCAGTGTTTCCCAGAGTAGAGGGCCTCTGAGGCCCATGTCACTGTTACTGGGGTGGCTGGAGAGTGGAGCACTACTCATCCTGGGAGCATGGGGTAGCATGTGGGGGCTCCATGCTGAATAGCTATATGCACCCCTCACTCAAGGATAGCTCAGAGGTAGTAAGAGTATTGGAATGCTTCTTCCAGAGCCAGTTCAGTCCCCAGTAGCTCACAACTCTGTAATTCCTGTCCCAATAGATAGACATTCAGGCAAATCAAGCACACACACACACACGAAACAAAAGCATTTAAAAAAAAAAAACCTGCCTTGGTTCATCCCAATGATGGTGGGAAGCACTGGGTGGTTGTGAACCACTCTACTGTAAGGAAAGCAGTGGTTGTCTGTTTGGTGAGGTGGCACACGCCTGTGAACCTAGCATCTGGGCAAAGCTGCTTAAGTTTAAAGCCAGCCTGGGCTACCTAGCAAGACATCAATGCCTCAAAACAAAACAACCCCAAAAAACAACAGGGAAGGAAGGAGTGAGAGGAAAGGACCCAGAGAGAGGAAGGAAGAGACAGACAGAGGGAGGGAGGAAGAGAGGGAGGGAAAAAAAGGAAGGGAGTGGATTTCCCGTAGGCTGGGCAAATCCTTCACAGGGAGAGCCTTTAGCCTTTCACTAAGTGGGTGCGGCTCTGTTAGGACTCAGCCTGCTGACCTTGACTGCACTAGCAGGGGGCCTCGCTGCCACCTGGAGAAGGCCCTCTCTAGGTACCTGTGGTGCTGACTCAATAGAGCCACCTGCAGCTCCTGCCTCAGAAGGAGCCCTCCATTTGAAGAAGCTGTGGAGGCAGCCTTACAAAGACTTCTGTTTTTATTTATTATTTTCTTCTTCCCCGCTTAGAGACAGGCCTAGACTGGCCTATAACTCCCATTGTAGCAGAAGATAATATTAAACTCCTGATCCTCCTGTGGTGCTAGAGACTAATGAGGGCTTGTGCCTGCTACAGAAGCAGCCACAGAACTCCACGCCCAGTCCAAGGAAGGACTCTGCCTCAAGCGCAAATCCTTAGGTAAACTGAACCTGAAAGAAAGTCAGACATCGCATAAGAAGCAAGAGACGGAGCTTCAGCCAGGGTACAAAAGGTTTACTGTTTACAAAAATAAGTTACAACAACAAGCAGACAAACCTCAACCCAAGAATAAAGGGCTCAGTCCGGTAATAGCTCATGGGAATCACAGACCCTGGGGCTGACATACAGGGAAGCCGGCACACAGGGCAGGAACAGACCGTCCTCCTATGACGCCCTGCTGATGGGTGCCAGCCAGTTCTGCCAGCAGACAGGCCCGGGGAGAACTGTCAGGTTCTCCAACAGACACCTGTGTGATAAATGGATCGGGCTGGTCTGCGAAGGTGCTGGAGCTGCGGGCTGGGCAGTAGCTGGGCTGGCTGGGGTCACTGCCGGCAGGTGTCATGGAAGGCCTCCAGGGTTCGGAAGTCCCTCCATGTCGGGGGAAGGCCATCTTGCAGAAACTTCCCGCAGCGCTGACATGGGGCCTGGAACAGCTTTATGTAGCTTCTCAACCAGGTCTGAAACGAAGACAGACAGGAGAGAAAAGGTCTGGGGACTCTACTCTCCTCAGCTGCCCTCCCTATAAGCCCAGTGGCCCAAGGATGGGGCCTCAGCAGACTTTGACACTGGCAGACACCTGTGGTCCCAATAAAAAGCTGTCTAACCCACAAGCCTGTCTCCCCGTTGACTCGGTTTTGATGTCTCCGGTTCCTCCAGAAATCTTAGGCAGAAACCCCTACTTCCAGAGTTGGAACGTTCCCCAAGGCTATCTGGTGCCACTGCTGAATTTCTCCTTTCTGCAGCTCTGAGCAGCAGGCACGGGCACAGCTGAGGAGGTTCTGTGCTAGGGCAATGTGCTCCGGGCTAATCTCATCTCAGAGGTTGTCCCTCTCTGTCACGGTGGGGCCTAACACAGCTGGGGCAGCCCCAGTGTCACCAAGTAACACAATAAGTGACAGTCACCCACCCTTGAGGTTGAGAGCTGAGGGCTCCCAGGCATCATGCATAAGGATGAGACTCAGGTAACTCAATTCTCCACCTCAAGGAGATTCAGGGGCACAAAAGCCCAGCAAGCAGACCCACTACCACAGGCAAGCAGCCCCGAGAGCCAGGCAAGTCACATAAGTCAGTCCTGATAGTGTCAGCGGGAAGACACTGCTTTCTGAGGGCGTTGACACAGGCAGCTCCTGAGGGCCGTTTTGTCCCTTCCACAGCCTGAGCGTGGGGTTTGGAAATAAAAACGGGAAGGGGATGGGATGGTCTGTTCATTTCTGAATTCCCCACACCAGTCAAGAGCACAGGGAAACCTGGTGTCATACACGTCAGGTAGAAAGCCAGGCTGCAGCCCACTGAAGACTGTCACTTGCTCACTTCTCAGCACGGGGACGGATTCTCTGGGCCTTTGTGGCTGAACGCCCAGTGTCAAACTCCCAACACTATGCACTTGGTTCTCCAGCCAGGCGTAGGCCTCGTGAGAAGCAAGCACCATTCTCTCTAAGATGCCGAGCTCCTGAGCTCGCCTGACAGTAAGCTGCCAAGCAACACCCCCATGCCACCGCTGCTCAGACCTCAGACCAACAGGCAGGAAGCCCTGCAGCCAGAGTGGGGGGACAGAAGTAGTTTCCTGCGCAGAAAAGGACAATGGCTGTGTTCCTGCTGTGAAGACCTGCCTGCCTGCTACTCTGTGCTCACTCACACCCTGACCTCCAGGTCTGAGAACAGCAGGAAGACAGGCTTGGAGGACTGCATGTTTGCTCCAGCTACTGCTCCACGCTTAGAGCCGGCCATAGGGTGGTGGGTTAGGAGTGGGATAGAATGGCTACTCGTCAGTGCTGGAAACTTCTGGAAGGCCACGTCTGTGGGTACTGCTTGTTTAGCTCTGATAGAATTCTCAGGGATTACCTGGGGCTGGCTCATCAGACCTCTCCCTAGCTGAAGGCCTGACCCCAAAGTCACTTACCATGAAGGACCTGACCACAACGTCTGGCATCTGGGGTAGTTGATAGTGGAGCAGGGCAGTGGTGGCGTGGTCTGTCACCTGGGGAATGAAGGGCAGTAACCATTAGTCAGAAGTTGCTAGCTTCAGAAGTAATAGCCTTGCTTTGGATCGCCTGCACCCTTCCTCCCCACATCTAAATAAAATCTCAAATAGGAAAGTTAGTGGAGGTGCGAGAGAGAGGAGGCATAGCAGACAAGAGGACACGGGCCTGGAGATAAATAGAGTGTGGAACATTCTGGCAACTGAAAATCTGGACAGGAAGGAGCATGGGAGAGGATGGAGCTCAAGGTAGGTAGGGAGGGTAACAGGGTGTGATACTTCGTCCGAAAGTGACAGACAGCAAGGGTGCAATGATCTCACCCCATTTCCATGCTCCTCCGCCAGCCTTCCTGCCCTGACAGCTCTCCTGTGGGTCTGTCTCTATCTAGCTCTTTGAAGGGTCTGTGTTCAACATCTTTGTGGGCACCCCCCCATCTCCTAACTCCTCAGAAAAAGTGGTAGCAAGGCCTCGGGCCAGATAGCCTAAGGTCCTTGGGAGGCCAGTGATACAGGCACGGTCTCCTGGCCTTGATCCAGCCATTCACCTTGGGCATCAGTATCTCATCTTTGAAACAAAGGGGCTGGTTGAGGACCACCTGCAGGTCTGAACCATCCCCAAATTAGGATTTAACTAATTTGAGAGTTGTACTTAAATTATTGGTTTATTTAACTGCCCTCATTAGAGACTCTTTTACATTTATATAGATTTTCTTATTTATTTTGTGGTGTGTGCGTGTGTGTGTGTGTGTGTGTGTGTGTGTGTAAGATCATGTGCACAGAGTGGGGGCCAGAGGACAGCATCCAGGCGTCAGTTCTGTCCTCCCACCACATGGGTCCTGGAGATCAAACTCAGGTTGTCAGGCTTGGCAGCAGGTACCTTTACCTGCTGAGCCATCTTGCTGGCAGTGGAAATTCTTGTCATTACAAATATAGTTAAAAAATAAAGGAGAACATGCCAGATAAAGTCATTGAGAACAAGAATCAACATGAGCCTAACACGCACAGACTTGTCGGTTCCAGCCTCCGCGGGACACCACGACACACCAGTGGCCAGCAGACTGAAAGCAACAGTGAAGCAAACTGGGGCAATCGGGAGGACAGGTCTAGGCCAGGGGGGCAGAGAGGAATACCCTGAAGTTGGATCACAGGCATGCGGGCCACTCTGCAGCCAGGCAAGCTGGCTCAGGCTCCCCAGCTTTCAGAGGGCAGTTTAGGCCCAGATAGATTTTAACCTGGTAGAGGAGGCTGTGGTATCATGCTTCATTTGGCAGGGAGAGGGAGGCTGACCAAGCTATTCTCCTCCAGGAAAGGACCCCACCCCACCCAACTCTCCTCAATGTGCTCCCTGCCCTTGTGCTACCCCTGCAGCCTTCACGCTGTGTCCCCAGGCCTAGAAGCACAAGGCATACAGCAGGTGCCCAATGCATATTTTAATTAAAGAGGGGAACCTGGAAATGCGGCTGCCGGACACGGCACTGCCCTCCCACAGAGACATCCACGGTGCCTGTGTTGCACAAGCCTGAGGAATTCTTTCCCCGGGTGACTTTCCCTGGTGCCAGGCCTGCTTTATTTTAAGCTTCCTGACAGACAGCTTTCTAAAATGAGCAGAGCCTTCTTCCCAGCAGTAGTAGTAGCTGTGACATGACTGTGGCGGCTGCTGGGAGACAAATGGGCTGTCTTTTCTTAAAATGCACACCGAAGCCCCGCTGTCCTCCCGTTCCAGGGATGACTACTTCCCTGTGCTGGCCACAGAGCTGACCCTAGAAGGCCCTCAGGAGGGGTCAGACCCTTCCGTTCAGCTGCTGGAGCTGGAGCTGGCCTGATCTGAGGCTACCTCGAACTGGTGACCCAGAGGCGACATCCAAGGCAAGGTTGCTCGGCATGGATGTGCAGTTTTTGTGTTTCTTTTGTTTCAGTTAATACAAATGGCCACCATTTGAAATTCTGGATGCCTCAGAAGCTGTGGGGGCATCCTCACAGGTAACTACGTGAGAGGGTCTGCACAACCCCACCCCCTCAGGTGGCTGCCATCAGCGGACGCAGAGAAAGGTGTCTCTGGATGGGCATGCGGCTGGCCTGAGTGCCCCTGGTCTCCCACTACCTGCTGCACTCATGGTGCCTTTCTGGCTCTTGTAGCCTTTGGGATTCGTCAGTCAAATCTGACATGACTGTCCCCACAAATGCCCGTGCCTTGAACCCAAATCTGACATGACTGTCCCCACAAAAGCCTGTGCCTTGAACCCAAATCTGACATGACTGTCCCCACAAATGCCCGTGCCTCGAACCCAAATCTAACATGACTGTCCCCACAAACGTCCGTGCCTTGAACCCAGCCCTGCATCCCTGTGGCTTCTTGAGCTTTAATTGAGCTCCTGCTTCCGTGCCTGACAAACCTGAGTCCAGGTGAGGGCGTGAGAGCCGGACTTACAAGTGAGGTGCAGGAGAGGCCTGCACAGGTAACTCAGGCTCGCCAAGAGGACAGGGCCGAGTCAGCGAGAAATGATCTTCTCCAGACACAGGGAAGTCAGGCACTCTCTGACTTGGCATCTGACTCACAGGCAGGGCACCTAATTAGCCTGCCTGTTCCTGGCCTGCCATCTGGCCAGATCTGGCCTTCTTTTCAAAGGGTCCCATTTAAAGTCCCCCTTTAACTGCCAAGTTTTTGTTAGTGGCAGTTTTTACTCTGGCACTGATGCGATCATTTAGGTTCTCAATATCGCACCAATTTCGGCAGCATTTTAATAAAAGGAAAAAAGCAGCTGACTTCTGATTGTTCCCACTTCTTCTCCAGCCCCATTCCGATCCCCGCGTCTGAACCTCCAGCACAGGGACACTGGAAGCTCCACCAGCGTGCCCTTCCTACTCCTCAGAACATTGTTCCACCTTCGATGAATGTTTTGTTGTTGTTTTGCACTTCCAGCAACAGAGTTGTGTTTTGTTCGGCATTGAAGATGCGGAAAAAACATGCCAGAGCAACAAAAGATTGCTATTAACTAATTTTGTGAGGGCCCAGGGTTGGACCACTGTGTTGTACGCTAATGATGTTCCTCCGGGAGATAAAAGCGGCCCCCTCACGCTAGAGGCCAGGGGAGAGCACTAATGCTCCTGAGAGAGCAGGCCAAGGAGGATGCTGCCTGCAGGTTGAGTGCTGGCTGAGACAAAGCTTATAAAAGATCAAAGTGGTTGGGAGGGGAAAGGAGGGAGGGAGAGGATTCGAGGTAACTACTGGACAGACAGGGACTAGGCAGGGTACCACCTGTGGAGGACAGGGTACCAGAGGGGGCTGGGAGAGGCCTCACTTCCCTCACTGTAGGGGACCACAGAGACCTGGCCTGGCTCAGGGAGGGTCTCCATCTGGAGAGCCAAGGCAGCAAGCTGAGCTGACTGAAGTTTCCTCTGCCTCAGCTCAAGGCTGTGAAGGTCTTTGTGCACCCAGATGGAGGAGAACTGAGCAGAGGGAGGGAGGAGGGACTCTTTCACGAGACCTTGAAGCAGCTGCCAGTCAACACTCTGGAGAGGAACTGCCAGTCAAAGCAGTCTCCCCAAGTTCCTCTGCCATACTGCGGTGCAGAGTGCCCTGAGTCTCCCTTCTAGGTTGGAGCTGTGTCAGTCACAAAGAAAGAGGTGCTGGGGTGGGAGCGCGCATGTGCGGTGGCCCTCGCTGGGCAGCAGGCTCACTGCTCTCTATACCTGAGTGGGATGACCTTGAGCAAGGATTCCACGGATCAGAAGGATAGCATCTGACCTCACTCAACCCCCACAACAATAGCCACAGAGGAATTGTTCCAAGTGCCACTTGCAAGTCAGGGAACCAAGTTACTGAGAGCTCAAGGGACTCGCACAGGTTAGGTGGCTACTATGTATGTAGCAGGGCAGGGCTTGTCCAGACCACGCCAACCTTAACTGAGAGTCAGACTCTGACCTACACCCAGTATGCCCCCACTGTAGAGCTTCTGGGGTAGACAAGTGCTCCAAGGGGTGCCAAATCCCAGGCCCTCTCCTCTCCTGGGGGAAAGGGGACAGCACTCCTAGGAAGGGGCTAAGATAGGCATCCAAATCCCTGGAGGTTCCTTCTGCCCTTGCTAGAGCCTCTGTCTATTTTGCTGCTAAGTGAGAGGCTCCCCTTTCCCACTGCCCTGGCTGGAGGGACAACTTAACTCACCGCCTGTCTGTGCTACAAGGGAAGGCTGGAGTGAGCAGAGCTATAGTACCAGTACCTCAAAGGCAGTGCAAAGCAGATCCTGGTGGTGGTGATGCAGAGGTCACCTGTCCAACTGTCTAGTAATGAGTCTGGGACACACCCCTTCCCTGCAGCCCAGGTGTCACAGTGACCAGAACATCGGGAAAAAACAAGGCCACAGTGGTGATGGAGGAAGGATTCAGAAAAGAGGAGAGAGGATGATGAGGGTAATCAGCAGCCAGGGGTAGGAACGACCACATGATTTTTAGCCCGTCCCCTCGGCTGCAGCATGGCCTAGCTCATTTCTAGACAGCTTTAACTTGGGGTAGTTCATTTCTTTTTCTAAAACAAGAGGCCCTAGCATGTCTGTGACCTGGGGATTAGCCACAGGGGCTCAGAAGCCCTCTCAGGTGGGAGGTACCACTTGCCAGCCCCAGCTTCAGGTAGGGGAGTTGAGGACTGCGGCTTAAGCACTCAGGAGGTTAGGATGCCCAGGCCACCAGGGGGCAGGCCCAAAGTGAGCTGGCTTCAGCCTCGAGCAACCCTCCATCCAATGCTCTTCCTAAAGCAAGGATTACTGAACAAAGCCAAATGCCCAAGTCTGTCCCTGCCAAGCTAGGGAGCTAGGGCCACTATTAAAGGTACTCCCCTGCAAGGTTCATAAACAGGAAAGTTAAGTACCCATGTAACCACAAGCTGTTTACTCAAAAGAGAAGCTGCTGGGACTAGACTCTGGCTTCCCTCCAGGCAGCACTGGCTTCCACATGCACGCTGTGGATGTGATTTGGCGGGAGGCTGGGGATCTAGAAAGCCCTGGCTA